AAGACCCTGATTCTCGCAAAGGGCTTCCTTCTAACGAGTAAAAGCCTTAGTGGCATCTCGTTCAGGTTTTCGAGTTGCCAACACTAAGAACATCTAAGCTGAGGTTGCTGAAAACGTTGATGTGGGCTCCCTAACCCTAAAGATTAAAGCGAAAGTCGAGTTTGGAAACGGCGCTGAGTTGAGTGTAAGATCCCTGCTTTGGGGGAGGGGCCGTTCAGTGTCTTTAGGAGCGCGGTTACAGTTTCAATAGGAGTCGGGATCAAGAGGCCGCCAGAGCAAAAAGCAGTAAATGCCAAAGGGAACGCACGGAGGAGTCTATAATTCTGTGCTGTGTTGAGGTGTTGCGTGTAGGGATCGGCATGCCTTGTGCTTCCTCTTCTGTTGCCAAGGACCTCCCCTAGGGTTCTTCTGACCCGAATTATATTTAACTAAGTCCCCAGGCCAGCAAAAGTTCTGTAGCCCATCACGCTCGTGTAACGCCGCTGTAAAGCCCTACGGTTGGTGATATAAATCCTGCATGACCCATAATAATATGGAATATACCTTGGGGTCCTTAAGGTAATGCTGGATTTATATCATCAACAGTATCAAACTACAATTATAACATAACGGATGAACTCAGCCGCAGGATCTTTCAGCAAGGCCCCCGAAATCCCCGCAGCAACATCATATAAAGCCCCACCCATCAACATGAATGTCAAATTAGCGAAAGTCCGACTATCCTTCAGCAGGCCCCTTACTAAGAACTGTTCCACCCTAGCTCGATAGGGCAGGGACACCTAAAGCAAGAATAGCAAGAACGCCAAGCCTTGCGTCGAAGCAGGGTATAGGGAACTTCGAGACACCAAGTCTCGTCTTTGCTCTACCTGCGACTTCAGCTCACCAACGGTTCAATAAATTGGACAATCACAATACAAACGAGAATGTAATCACAATGGTAGTTATTGTAATAATCACAATGTTTCAGGCTTCCAACGAAGCACTTCGTTAAGGTTTAGGGCGGAAAGGGCATACCCAAATCCTCAAAAGTATTTAGGGTTTAGGAGCTACTGATTCGCGTGAGGATGAAGTGATAGGTGTGTTTGGAACCACAACAAGAGGCACCTGTCTTTGCAGGTCTAGCAGGGGAATCTGAGAATGCTAAAGCCACAACAGATCCGGGCACGACAGATTTACAGCAGCCTGAGGTTTAGAGTTGTGTTTCGAGGGTTGGAGGCTGTCGGGTTTCCAGTTGAAGCATTTCGAGCAGTTGTGGGACATACGAGGGTATGCTGACTGCAGCTACTGAGGTTGTTCTCCATCGAAGAAGAGGCACTCAGCCGTATCATGTCCGAAGCTGCGCCCTGGAACCCGAAGCCCCAAGCCCCATCTCCTGACATTTCAGGTCTTCTGACAAACGCCAATGGTAGGGCAGTCGGAAGTGCGAGGAACCATTATATAGGTAGTTCTCTAAATTGGGGTCCCTTTTCGGGTCCCCTTTATATGGGTGCCGTACTATAGTGGGGACCTAAAAAGGGACCCTGATTTCGAGAACTACCCAAATAGCAGGCTCTTAGTCGAAATTCGGGCTCCAACAGTGTCATATACTACTGTTGATGATATAAATCCTGCATCAATTTAAGGACCACAAACTATGGGAATTATGGTATATACCTGATTATGTGTAATGCCATAATTCCCATAGTTTAGGGTCCTTAAGCTGATGCAGGGTTTATATCATCAACAGTACCACTATCTCTTCAAGTTCCCATGCCTGACCGTTTGTAGATCTGCGGTATATGGTTTACCTAAACCATCACAAGTGGGCTAAATATTGGGCCAATACCTATAAAACCCTATTGTTCTACATACTCTTGGGGTTCACCTAAACCCTAAACCCTAAACCCTAAACCCTAAACCCTAAACCCTCAGCCTTTGTTCTACATGCTTTTGGGGTTCTGGTAGGGGTTGAGTTTAGAGTTTCGGAGTTTGGGGCTGCGAGTGCTCGGTTTGAATCACGGCGGCGCTGCCCATAGGCTCCAGTATGGTGTCTTTTTTGTGGTTTATATTTAGGATCCTATAAGGTAATCGCAAAAAAGGAGCTACTACTGCTGATGATATAAATCCTGCATTACCTTAAGGACCATAAACTTTGCCATAAACTATGGGAAATTATGGTATCTTCCCTTACTATCGGTAATGCAGGGTTTATATCATCAACCGTAGGGAACCCAAGGGGGTTGGGTGAGAGTTGAGGGCTTTACTTTGCTCGAACCCTAAACCCTAAACCCTAAACCTCTAAACCCCTAAACCCTAAACCCTAAAACCCTAGAGGGTCAGGGTTTTCACACCGGGATGCTTGAGGTTTCGACTTCGATTTTTCAGGTACCTTAAGGGCCCAACTGAGCCTTATTCAAGGGGGGACCCTATAACCCTTATAAATTGGGAATCCCTTTTTTGGGCATATGAGCCTTGAGGTTCATGTCGCCCTTAAGGTAGTTTTACTGTAAATCCCTGCTTGCTCAGCCGCCACTCTTAGATCAGCATTGTAACAGGGGTATCGAATCGGATAAGGAGGCCCTTCAGGAAACCGGGTTTCCTTGATCAGTGGTGTCTAATCACGATTTAGGGTTTAGGGTTTCAGGTAAGCTTCGCAAGGCCAGGTTTACAGGCTTTCGAGGTTTGGGTTTCGGCTCACAGACCGTTTAAAACCCTGAACCTCAAGTCCGATAGCCCTAGCACCTGCTGGAGGTTTGTACGACAGTAGTATAGTTGGCATTCTGATTCTTGTTCTGTGCTCCTTACAGTATGGTATCATGTCCGCCCTTTCCCTGTCCTGGTCTAACGTCTAGGCCCCTTTCTGTGGCCTCAGCCCTGCCCCCTAACAGCTGACCACCCACAAAGGCTTTGCGACATTAAGTGCAACCTGAACCCTAAACCCTAAACCCCTGAGCCCGAATGGAGTGCAATGCTTCTCAAAGCTGCGACCCTAACCCCGAAGATTGGAATGCCCCCAACCCTGAACTTTGAACCCTAAGTCAAGGGTTTAGGGTTTAGGGTAGGGTTTGGGGCTTTGGGTTTAGGGCTTAGGGCTTAGGGTTTAGGGTTCAGCACACCTCTTCCAGGTGGCACGCATTGCCATCGCTTCTGACCCGGAATGCACGAGGCCCGTGGGCAGCCAAGGGATACTCTTGTCGAACCCCTGAACCACGAGAATGCGCCCTTGCATGGAAGGTCAAATCCTTCATGACGGGGTTTTGATCGCTCTCCGCAGGAGTTTGCCACTTCCTATCATATGCTACTGTATATTACAGTATATATTAAGCTCAAGGGGCTACGTAGTTCGGAGAGTATTTCAAAGGTACGAGTTAGGAACCCCCGAAGCCGATCTTGACGTGTGAGCACGACCAAAACCTAACAACAACAACAACAACAACAACAGAGGCTATACCCCACCTAAAGCCTAAACCCTGAACCTAACAACAACAGAGGCTATAATCCCCAGAAAGCCCTGGCACCTTAGAGCTTGCAGAAACGGGGTTTGGGCTGTTGTGGGGGTGGGGGGCGCAGCATCGCGAGTATATGGGTAGTTCTCTAAGTTAGGGTGCCTTTTAGGGTCCTTTTTATCAACATGCCGTACGATATTAGGAACCTAAGAAGGGAGCCTAGACTTAGAGAACTACCCATATTGGAGGTTACACAAGCCTTAGGGTAAACCGTAAGCGTAAAGGAGTGGGAGGGAGGGCCCTTAGATGCTATGCTCAAGCAGAGGCTCAGGTAGTGCTTGGTGTCTGCCGCAGGGGTCTGAAGCCATGGACAGGGAAGGCGAAACGCGCAGCCTTGTTAAGTCGGATCCTTCGGCTGGGGTTAGGGTTTAGGGGTTTAGGGTTTAGGGTTTAGGCCTTGGGCTGCTGAGATGATGGGTTTGCAGTTGAGGATTTATGTTAGACGACTTGGGGTTTAGGGCGTTAGGGCTTTTAATGTTTCGGATTCAGGGTTTGAGGGTTTGAAGTTTTACGGTTTAGCGTTTAGGGTTTTAAGATCTAGGATTTAAGGTTTAGGGTTTAAAGTTCGACGATTTAGGGTTTAGGGTTACCGATCGAGGTGGAAGTCCCCACGATGCAGAATCAGCAGCATCAGAACATGGGGGATGATGACAAGCCTAAGCCTTAAACCTTAAACCCCTAGTGTCATGAAATTTCCTGAAACCCTAAACCCCTAATGTCATGGAATTTCCCTAAACCCTAAACCCCCAATGTCATGGAATTTCCTTAAACCCTAAACGTCATGGAATTGTTGGGTTCAGGGTTAGGGTCTGGGGCAATCGAGGAATCACGTGCAAAAGAACCAGGCAACTGGCTTTTCGTTATTAATTACAGGAGTTTTAGGGTTTAGGGGCTTAGGGGTTTAGGGGTTTAGGGTTTGGGGTTTAGGGTTTAGGGGTATAGGAGTTTTAGGGTTTAGGGTCTAATCAGGGTTTAGGATAATGGAGCTATGTAAGAGTTTCTGCTCCTAGGGGTCCGGTATGCAGAAAATTTGGGACCTAAATCGTCGATATGCGCAGTATTCAAGGACATATAGGAGCTTTAACAATTCATCAGAACAGGCTTTTGGGGCTACTATAGTTAGAAGCAGGAACCCCCAAAAATAGTATTGGTAATGATTTAGGCTCCTACATGACACCGGCGTGACCAATCCCCTCAGCCCTGAACCCCAGATCCTAAATCCTAAAACCTAAGCCCTCGACCCCAAAACGGTTTAGGGTTTAGGAACCCTAAACCCTAGAGCCAAGCGAGGAGCGTACCGCAAGCCGGGGCCAACAAGCTTCACGAGTGGAAGACGATAAATACACGGAAAGCAGGGTCGATGAATACCTTGAACTTCGTGAACTTGGTGACAAGGAGTTAAAGTTACTATCCCTCGGGGACATTGGCAACAAATGGCAAGGTGTGGCTCTGTTTTCCTTGTGCGCACTTTGCTGTGCGCTCCCATTCGTTGGGTGTGTGTTCGCACTCATTTGGATGTGGAAATACGGGTTCCGGCACAAATTCCTCCGTGAATACAACTGCTTGGGCGTGTTACAGGAAGTTACGTTTTGGCTGATGATCTTGGTCATGCAGGTTGAGAGCACAACGACTTGCCTGTTGTCATATTTCCTGGTCGACCAAAGTCAGTTTCCCCTTGCTGCACAAGTATTTCAGGCCACGCTGGTCGTACAAGCATGTTGGGTCGGTTCGCTCTTCTGGCGTATACTGGTGGTCGAAGCGATTGATACAGGTGCCCATGTCGCCAAGCATAAGCTGACGGCTCGAAAAGAATTCCGTGAGAGTTCCCCGTCAAAGAAGGTTGCCACCAATCGTGCCTCAGCCTTCTTGGAGCATCTCAGGGTAGAATCGGAGTTCGAGGCAACTCCCGCTGATTTTGAGTCCAAGCTTTTTGCAGGGCGCATCTTGTGGTGGCATAGACTGGTGATTGCGGCCTCAACCGTGACAGCCGCGTTGATGCCGCTCTTGGCTGCCAAGTCCAGGCACGTCATGTTCGCAGGCTTGTGTGAGGAGGACCACTTAGACTCAGACGACTTAACAGATGCCATGCAAAAGGCCTGTAAGAAATGGAGAGAGGTTCCAACAGTGCCCCTGCTGGGATGGATCGACCTACCTCTTTGGGAAGTAGTGCGGCATTTCTGTGTTGGTGGGATTTGTGGACAACAGTGGTACAAGTTCATGTCTGGCATACTTCGAACAACGCAGAGCTTTCGTCAGAATGCCAGCCGGCTGCTTGTCTTTCTTGCCAAAACTAAGCAAGCAAACAAGGAGTCGTGGAGCGCAAGAGAGAGGAGGCGACTCGCCAGTCTCAACAAAGAGAATGAAGAGTATATGGCACAAGTCCTAGCTGATGGTGGCAGTGACGTTGGCACATTAGACCTTACCAAGTTGGAGGACGTCCATACTTGGTGGAGAGTTCGGAGGTTCTTACAACTCGACTTTGTGGATGAATCGGCCGGCATGGATGTTGCTGCAACGACTACAGCGCTTCTGCTCTGGTCCATCACGATCGCAGGACTTCTGGACTGGTTCGTGCATGACACACACTTCACTGCCGGGTTTGTAGGGACGATCCTTTACTGCTCTTAGGAATATGTTTTATTTTTTATACTATAACTCCAGGGGGTGTTAACAAGCATAATATTTGTATTCTGGTTCTGAGGGCGGCTAAGGATCATTCTAACAATTGCGCTGACGATCACAATGCTCAACATTCTGGATGCATGTATAGCAATCAACCAGATGTTGTTGCGCGACGCACGGATCCTGACCGACGCCAGAATCGACGTCTTGCTAAGTACCCTGGCATGCGGCTATGGTTTACTGCATTTCAACAGGAAGCCTCGGTCCCAATATCCTGCAAGACGCAACTACGCATTTTGTGATGGAATTTCGGGGCTGCTGTCGAGGAGATTGAGTCGTAGACACGATAGAAATGTTACAAACTAGGATTACCGAGACATGATGTACTCTCTGTACTGTATCTCTATCGCGGTTGTCCCGGCTTCTTCAATGTGGACGTCGAACCCTCGTGAACCTTAATCCTTGGATGGTTGCAAATTTCTGTTTTGCTGTCCCCCTAACAAGGCTCCCAATATGCGACTGTGTTGGAGCGGGGCAGCATGTAAAGTTGAAACCCCCCACCCCCCTTCAATAGTAAATTCACCCAACATAGTACCGCAAGGGTACACTCACTATCAACTACACGGGCTAGGTATGTTTCGTTAGATTCATCCAACACCCCAAACCCTAAACGAACCTCTAAACTCTAGAAGCCCTGAAGACCGAGGCGACTCGCCGGAGCAGTCAAAGGTGAACTCTTTGCTCGAAGCCTTGCAGGTAAAAGTCGAGGCATCTCGGGCACACAAGGTCTCCTTTGCAATCCTACGTGGCGAATTTTGGATCATGAATGCTTGTATGCGGGAACGTTATCTTGAATACCTGTAAGAGGACGGTACTTCATGGAAGCAGGGCTTGTCAGTCAGGGCGAAATTTGCAAGCAAGGTTTTGCATTAAGAAGTAAACGTGCCTTTACACGTTACAATGCCCCCTCATTGTTGGAAGTGCCCATATGCCAGTCAGCGCAGCATGTGTGTCCTCATCGGGCAACATTGCCGGCGCACGGTTGTGCAGGCCTTTGATGAGCGAAAGCAGCGTCTGTTCGGCATTACGATCACTGCCAACTTGCGGAATAGCTGGGTGGCGACGCTCTGTGCAACAGGCCTATCAGCATGATCATCCACCGAATTCATGTCTGCAACCTTCCGAGCATTCCCGAAAGGATAGTTACTTCTGTGCCGCGGCTTAGGGTTCATTGTTGTCCCTCCCAGCACGCCCAACTCCTTGAGTCAAGAAGAGGGCGTTCTGTTTCCTCAAGGTCTGACCACAGCGTGGCAGATGTTCCGCCCAAAGGTGAAGGACCTTACCATCGACAGAATCCAGGAGAAGGGAAAAATGTTGAAACTCGTTGCGTTGTTGTTCTTTGGGTGCCTTATCCGTGGGCTCCAGTTACCTATATACTGGGCTACTGGGTTGCATATCGTATGGTTACTAAACCTCCTACTTAGGGAACCGGAGCCTTAGGGGCCCTTTCTGGCCGTACATCCTACACCCCACATCCTAGACTGCGACTGCTCCACCCCAAACTCCAGGTCCTACACCCAAACTCTATAAGCCCTAAACCCTAAACCCCAAACCCAAATAGACCCTAATCCTCAGACTCTAAAGACCCCCCCAACTCTCAAACCTAAGTTGATGCCTAGTAAGAGTCTTCATAAGGCCCATAGTCTAAGCTCCTAGTATCCCCACCGAAACAGGCCCCTACATAACCCCTTTTGCAACACACACCCCCTTTTAAGGAGTTTAGACCCTCAGCCCTAAACTCTATCGGCTTTAAGCCCTCACCCTAAACCACTAAACAGCCCTATTAAGGAGTTTAGACCTTAAGCCCTATTAAGCCCTCGCCCTAAACCCTAAACAGCCCTAAACCATATCTGGCAGGACAGCCTGGGGCGGCTACCCGTTCCGGATTGGTTGGAGACCTTCGCCACGCAGAAGCCGGCTTGAGCTCTTGAGGCGGCAGATTCCGGGCACCCTGACTTAGGGTTTAGGGTTTTGGGTCACTGACTATCCTATACCATGATTATGTGGTAGGGTTTAGGGTTCAGGTAGTTTCCACAAGTAGGGGTCCCCAATATGGACCCCAAAATACTATACCCCACTACATTTGGGATATAGATAGTTTGAGACCAGAATATTGATAATTGTTTAGGCTTCTACGTAGGACAGACAGAATAGGAACCTGTTTGGGTCTCTTGTAATTCTCTTAGAATCGGTAGGGTTTAGGGTTTAGGGCTTAGGGTTTAGAAGTGTCCTTCTTGCGTGGGAGCTTCCTGTTTGGGCTCCCCCCAGAAGCTACGAATCTGCCCCATGGGGCCAGTCTCTGGTTTATGGTAGTCTCTTTCATGGGGCCTGTAGGGCAGAGGATGTACGGGGATCAGTATTTTGGTATAGATGTGAGAGGGCCATTGTAGGTCATGTATCTTTATGCGTAACGAGACCATCAACCAGACCTAGCTGGTCTTTGTACGATTGTCGTAGTGCTTGTCGGAAAGGGATGGGGAATGGATCCCTGCAATAGCACACGATCTCCAACAGTAGGATAGTTTCCACTGGTGTGTTCCGTTCCCTGTTTACTACTAATTTGAGCAGAAGCCAGAAAGTTGGAACATCATGATCTTCATGCCTATATAAGGTAAAGCCAAGGAATCCCAGCACGAAACATGCAAAATCCATGTTCCAACTTTTCTGATCTTTTCTGCAGTTCACGATAACATCGAGCAAGTCATTCCTGCTGTCAGGGCAATGCTCTTGGCGAGAGTTCCTTGCAACAAGTCTTGGCACCGGGTTTTTGAGAAACCTTCTTTTACGAATCAGCAATGGCGGCGATGATCCATAGTCTACGCCGGTATGCTGTCTGTCCTGTGGGACGTCCACCGCAACCTCCTTTTTCCAACTGCGGCGGCGCCCGAGGGCGTGCACTTTGCAGGCAGCAAAACCGGGCTGGTTCATCTGGTTCATTGGAATGGTGTGTGCATAGGCTACGAACATTCACATTCTTAAAGGTGTATTGAATCAGCACTGCTGCCACCGCATCTTTTTGTGATACTTTCTCGCTGATGCGGCTGCATGTAACTGTTTCGAAACGACGAGTGTCACCCTCCGTTTTCCCGCTTAAAGGGTTCGAAAGAACCTGCTGGGTTCTCCTGTAATTCTCTTCGAGGTGTCCTTCCTGCCTGGGAGCATCCTGTTTGGGCTCCACGAGGAATCTACGAATCTACCCCATTGGACCAGTCTCTGGTTTATGGTAGTCTCTTTCATGGGGCCTGTAGGGCAGAGGATGTACAGGGATCAGTATTGTGGTATAGATGTAAGAGGGCCATTGTAGGTCATATATCTTAATGCATAACGAGACCATCAACCAGACCTAGCTGGTCTTTGTACGATTGTCGTAGTGCTTGTCGGAAAGGGATGGGGAATGGATCCCGGCAATAGCACACGATCTCCAACAGTAGGATAGTTTCCACTGGTGTGTTCCGTTCCCTGTTTCCTACTAATTTGAGCAGAAGCCAGAAAGTTGGAACATCATGATCTTCATGCCTATAAGGTAAAGCCAAGGAATCCCAGCACGAAACATGCAAAATCCATGCCCCAACTTTTCTGATCTTTTCTGCGGTTCACGATAACATCGAGCAAGTCATTCCTGCTGTCAGGGCAATGCTCTTGGCGAGAGCTCCTTGCAACAAGTCTTGGCACCGGGTCTTTGAGAAACCTTCTTGTTTTACGAATCAGCAATGGCGGCGATGATCAATGGTCTATGCCGGTATGTTGTCTGTCCTGTGGGACGTCCACCGCAACCTCCGTTTTGAACTGCGGCGGCGCCGGGGGCGTGCACTTCCCAGGTAGCAACAGCGCATGGCGATGGTTCGTGCATCGTGTGACAAGCTACGAACATTCTTAAAGGTGTATTGAGTCAGCAGCTGCTGCCACCACATCTTTTTGTGCTACTACACTTCCTCGCTGATGCGGCTGCATGTAACTGTTTCGAAACGACGAGTGTCACCCTCCGTTTTCCCACCTAAAGGGTTCGAAAGCGGGCAACCGGGCTTGTACATCACTCGGGCACTTGCCTGTTTCACAGGAGTAGTAGCTTCTTTGGGGTACCATACTTGCCGAGATGAGGCAGGATTCTCTCTACCTAGTGACCTAGTGGGTTGTAATATAGGATGAGAGAAATGTAGTCTGACTTGTTGCAGCCATCAAAGCACGCTACTCACTGCTGGAGTTGCCCTCCAAAGTCAGGGCTTCAATGCCGCGAGGCATGAAATGAAAGGCACTGTCGGGTTCTCTATACGCGTCTGCCCGCACCATCGAGCGGATGACTGGACACTTCTGCTGATTATAGTCCCTGATTGTAGGGTGACCCTAAACCCTAAACGCTAAGCCGTAAACCCCAAACCCTAAACCCCTAAAGCCCTAAACCCTACTAAAGCCCTAAACCACGTCAAGCATGATAGCGGCTTGTTTCTTGTGCCAGATAACGGCCGAGGTGAGGTAAGAACCTGACACAAGTTTTGAGTGTGCCAAGCAAAAAGCCACGAACGGTCTGAATGTGATCGGTTCGATCCGGAATGCCTTGCGCACGAACTTGATGCCATTCTCCAAATCCCTCAGCGATCCTCCACCCCTAACCCCATACCTGGACCGTATAGAACATACCGTACCGCAGAACATGAGGCCTTAAAACAAAGGTCTCAATGGTTGATAAGACCATCCTCTTGCAGTCCCGATCAGTCTATCTGTTTACACAACAGTACGTGCCAATGCTCTACGTATTCATGTCCATTTCTAGTTGTTAAGGCTCCTGAAGTGTACGCTTAAGCCTTTGAGCCATACAAGCCCTAAGCTCAAGGTTGCGGAATGTCGAAGGAGACGTGTGCGGAGCCGAGATCGCAGAGCAAGCAGCTGTTTTTGGTGGTTTGATCTCACCCTTGAGCTTGAACAGCAAGGTTTTGCTCATCTGCTCGAAGGGAGAGCTTTAAACTTCTTGAGTTTGTGTTTGTGTATTAATAAATAGAAGGACCTGATCAAGAAGCCCTGCTTTATTGCAGGTTTTCAGATGGATCCTACAATTTTGGGGGCTATAGGACCAAGAGTATTGAATCAGGTTTTAACATGAAACGGTTTGAGCTGTTGCCCTTGGCCCCTAAACCCTAAACCCTACTTGGAGGTTCATGGGTAGTTATAAGTGGGGTTATAAGTAAGGTAACTATAGCTATTACCCAGATTAGGGGACTTATAACCATACTTATAAGACTTATAACTACCCCTAAACCCTAAACCCTAAAAGCCCTATAGAGCCCTTTAAAGGGACCCTTTAGGGAACCCCATAACCCATACTTATTACAACTACCCATGAACCTCCAAGTTGCCGGCCCTAGGGCACGACGGGATGCCTTGACCGCCATGGCCCAGGACTCCACCGGCGTCAAGTTTAAGGTTTAGGGCTTATAGGGTTTATAGGGTTTAGGGCTTATAGGGTTTATAGGGCTTATAGGGTTTATAGGGCTCAGGGTTTATAGGGTTGCGTCAGAATATGGGAGTTCCCGAAAATAGGGGGGGTACCTTATTTTGGGGTCCTTATAATAAGGATCCTACTATTTAGGGTACTATATTAGGGTCCCCTATTTTCGGAAACCCACATAGGGTGGGTCACTAAACCCCTACACCCTAGACCGAAAGTTTAGCATTACAGGATGAAAGTGTTTAGCAAACAGCAAAATGTGATAGTAGTAAGCACAGCAGTCATAACAGCCATAATGCACAATCTCGCAAACATGCTTGCAACAGACTTAAACCCTAAACCCCTAAACCCTAAACCCCTAAACCCTAAAGCCCTAACCCCTAAAGCCCTGAACCCCTAAGCCCCAAACCCCTAAACCCTAAACCCTTAAAGCCCAAGCCCTAAAGCCCTAAACCCTGATAGCCTCCCCCCCCCCCCACACCCACACACACACACACACACACGCACACCCAAAAGCGAGCCTCCAGTGGCGAGAACCATTGACGCCGAAAAGAACACCAGAATCTCCGACGTCCTGCTGGCAACAGGGTTGAGGGCCAGTTTAGGGACTACTAAGGCACTTAGGGCTCAGGGTTTCAGGGTTTTGGGATTTGGGGGTTTAGAGCCAGTTTAGGGATTTAGGGTTTTAGGGGTTTGGGGTTTAGGTGGCTTTTCGGGGTTTTTGAAAGCAGGGGGCCTTGAGAAACAGATGCCCCTCAGAGCCTGAAGCCCGAAGGCGTATACAGCTCCCCAAGATCCATAAACAGGTTTAGCGTTTAGGACTTTAGGGTTTAGGGACATCCTTAAACCCTATACATCCGTAAAACCTCCAAAACCGCAACTTCTGAAGCAGTAACTGTAGCATTTGGGTTACGGGATTTAGGGTGGCCCGTTTTGTGTTGAGGCTTTGGTTTTCGGGGGTGCAAGGCTTCAGTGGCTAGGCTACTTGGAGGTTCATGGG